CTCCGCCAGCTCCTCCCTCTTGGTCCAGCATGGCTCCTCTTCTTGTTGGCTCCTCAGTCACTTGTGTAAGAAAGTCATCATTGATACATTTGAGGAACCTCTGGGATTGCCTGTGACCTGCCGTGTGTCTCTCCAACAGATGATGGTGGTTGAAATCTCCCAAGAGGACCAGGCCTTGTGATCATCAGGGCCCTCCCATCAGCCTATAGATGCTTCATCCACACCTGCCTTCTGATCAGGTGGCTTGTAACAGATCCCCACTACAACATCCCTGGTCCCTGCCCTCCCCTTAATCTTGACTCACAAGCTCTCAGCTGGCTACTTATCCTTCCCCAGGCAGAGCTCCACATTGTCCAGTTGGTCATTGACATAAACGGCTAGACTCACTCTTTGTGTACCCAGCCTGTCTTTCCTGAAAAGCCTAAAACCTTCCATTCCAATGCTCCAGTTGTAGGAGCCATTTCACCATGTCTCCATGATGCCAAAGACATCATACCCACACAGGCATGCACACATCTCTAGTTCCTCTTATTTGTTCCCCATACTATGTGTGTCTGTATATAGGCATCTGAGTGGGGCACCAGATGAAGCCAACATACTGGGTGGAGTATCTCCAATGCCGTTGCGCTTTTCTAGGCATCCACTACAGATATTGAAATCCAACTGGCAGGACTGGGATGGATAGGTGCCCTCTCACAACAGATCTACTTTAAAGCCCCCTTCACTAGTCTGGCAAGTCCCGTTTTGAGGCCCTCATAGTCAAAACTCTCATCCAGCTCAGAAACTAGTGAATTTACAATACTACTTTGGATTTGGGGTTGCAGAGTAACTTTATCCTCAATGTAATTTTGCATACATGGTTTTTTTTTCATTAAAAACCTAATGTATCTTTAAGAAGGAATTAAAAGTCATGTTAGTATTTTTAACATCAGATTTATATATGCTTGCTAAATGTTACCTTAGCTGCAGAAACAAAAAATCTTTACTTTTTCAGCAATTTATTTTGCTGCTCGCATGTAGCACACAATAAAGTAGGCTTCTAGCATGGATGTTACTCTTAGACTATTCAAAAAAAATAAACCCATGTTTTTAAATTTTTCTTACCTGCAAAGAGCAATTGACTATTAGGTTTCTGGATAATGAAGATACTCATCTAAAAGGTACAACCCTAATTAACAGAAATTACCACTTACCAGCAACAGAAGCAGATTAGTCAATCCTAAATCTAAAAACAACACTCAAGAATTCGGTGTGTATGGTTTCAAGATCCCTTTCTCATAATTAATGTGATCAATTTATGTGCCTTTTCATGGCTACTCCCCGCTGCCCTCATCTCTTTATCAACGTGACCTACCTTTACTAATCCCTGAATTTAGATGGTATGCATCCAGTGCTATAGCCAAGATGTGTAATACCATGATTACTATCAACAGCTAAGAGGGCTGAGCACTACCCACATCTCGTGCCCTAGCACAGCTAATCTAGTACTCAGAGCCAGCTAGGCTGCTCATGTAATACAGGCTTTTCCTCTAGCTGATCCTTTGGCAGATAGTGTGCTGTTTCTTCCAGCAGCAAGAAGTGTACCATTTTGACCTTTTCTCTTTCCTCTGCTATTAAACAGAAAATGATGGGAAAAAACAACTTTAAGAGATTCTGTTGCACATGTATTTCCTCCAGTGAGAAGAATTAATATGTTGAGCCAGGCCACCTGCTGAGAAAGCTTTCAGGTTTCACAGTCCGATATCTACATCATTCACATACAACAGACTCACTGGATACTGAAAAAGTAATTCATCAACAAGTTGGTATTTTCCTACCAGCTAATCTACAAAAGCACAAATTTTAAAAAAGTGTCTCTTTGAAGACAAAACCAGTACTGACATATAGGTAGCATAACATAAGTTGCCCCATCAGCTCAAATTCTTTGCTCCCCTTTCACAGATAGCTATTGCTTATCTCCCTCTTAAAGGAAGAAAGGAATCAACACAACTATCATTGAAGCAATTCTGCAGCACCTTCCAACAAGGTCTATTTAATCATTATGTGAAACCCCAGCAAGACTCCCTGTCTGGCCTATTTGATCTGCAAAAATTGTTTTAATTGTAACTTTCAGTTCTCCTGCTTCTGACTGCATTTCTACTTACCATCAAAGGCTAACACCTAAGTTGCTAATCATTGGCTAAGATTTATAAATAATAGGTGTATGAGTGTATGTCTGCTTGACCCAGTTCTGAACTACTGTACATACAAATTATCCTCCATGCTAGATAATCTGTTCTGTCACCTTTAGTTTGCACTGCAGCTGTTTCATCTCTAAATCAATGTTTTTTGAAGGAGCTGGTGTGGCTTCATTCTTGCCAGCAGTTTGAGACAGATGTTCTCTCAACTTTAATTTTCCTTGTAAATCTTCCTTCTCCTGTTGCCACTTGGCCAGGTTGGAGGTCAACACCTGTTTTACAAAGAGAAAATACAATCACAATTTCATCCTAGAAGTATTTTTGCTTGATCACATGAGATGCTTGTCCAATTCAGAATTGAAAAGGAATATAACAGTGCATACTATCTGCAATTATAGTGCATAACTGTTAGTTTCCGGCAGGAAAGAGACACTAACTAACATGAAAAACAAGCATTCTTTTTTAAAGGCAAGAAAATTCAGATTTGACTGAATACATTGCTATTTTTTCTGTGGCAGGCAAAAATTATACAAAACTGTAACAGTAGTTACTCTGTTTACCTAGAGCCTTTCTGGGATTCAGGAATTATTTCTACACAGAACATCAAGAAATACCAAGGTGTCTCAAACACCCATGTGTATTAAAGGTGGTTAAATGTCAAATCAGTTTTAATGGTGACCACTGTAAGCTCACTTGAATTGCTGTGTTGACAACTGCTATAAAACATACACCCTTCTCTTGGCTTTTGTTTTGATATTTGTAGGGCTTGTAGAGGTTAAAGCAAAGTGGACCAGCTGCACTAAATATCTTCTGGTTGGCTGGTCTTTACTCATGTGTTATTTCTTCCCTTTCACGTATATGCACCATAGCCAGAGAACCACATATTCCATAACCTTGACTCTGGGGCTGAAGTACTTAAGTGGTAAAAGACAAGCTGGAGCAGGACAGGATAACAGATGTTTGTTGTTTATTCCACTGGGTAGGTCTTACCACCCTATACTGCAGCCAAAATGCTTCTCATTTAGCAACATAAATGCTAAGTCCAATTAGCAGACAAGCCTTGTTAGGGATTTAGTTCAAATAAATATCATGCAAACAAACTCTCCATCTTGTTGCACTTGACTGACAACCAACAAGACTTATTCAATCTTTGTACCAATATATTTCATGATACTCCTTATAGAGGTAATGTTTTAAATAATTGTTTTAATTTAAATTACATTGAATGTTCTGCAAAGGGGGGAACTGACATAACCTCCATGCTAGTGGTTAACACAAACCTGTAGTCTGCCAAAAGCCACCAATGGCCTAACAACTCCTCTTCTTAAAAGTGTAACTACAGTACTATCTTACTGTTCCAAATAAGACTGTGATACAGTAGTTTAACATAAGGAATAAGTGTACAAAATGGTATTTAAATCTCTCAAAGTGACAAAACACCCTCATCCTTTGTGAAGAATCCTGGTAAGACACCAGAGAATATACTATAGCTCAAAATGATGCACACATTAGCCCAATTCTATGCTTGTATAGAAAAAAAAAATGGTGAAAGCTGAAGATAGCATTCTATTTCCAAGCATTTTATTGCTTAACTCAAAAATGAGATGTTGTTTGAAAAAGCTTTTAATGTATATGTGTTAATACATACATACACTCCCATACCGTTAATCTGAAGACCACACATATATCCAAATACAAGAGAAACTACTTACAGTCATCTTTATTCCCATTATGAATAAGAGACTACTTGTAGATTTTGCATTAGCTTTAAAAAATATCATGGGTACAAGAAAACGTACCCTGTATTTAAAGTTAAAATTCCTACAGTATTTATTTCAAATTCATTAAGTGCACTTATTAAAGTCAATGGGCATTTTACATATGTTTCTGAGGTAAGTACTGTTCTTAGTAAAGGGGTTAATCTTTCCATTCCCTGCTTCGTCTGCTGTCATTATCGAACAAGAGATAAATTGTGTTAATGTATTTTCTAATTGACTATTCCTTAATCTGATATATTATTCTCATAATTAATACATTCTCAGAGTAAAAGACAAAATGAAGGCAACTTCAATAAGCAAAACCAGTAGTAGTACAGAAAGACGTAGTATAGAAAAATATAAGGACTATGTTAATTTGTCTAGTGTAACCAATATTTCTGCATGCAGAATTTCATGATTCACTGTCTCTATAATAAATTATTCATAAAAAGAAAAGAAAAAAAATCATAGCTAGATCAATAACTCTGTTTAAAATTAGAAATGCCCCTGTATCTACCCAAGATAGCTTGTGACTCTTAGAAGTTTCATAGGCTACTGCTGCCGCCAATATGCATCAGATCTAAAATGTCTGGATTACACTGGCCACGTTTTCAAAAATTATAGAAAATTTATTGAAAAAGAAAGGGCCTTGATGGGACAGGTGCTAAAGAGGACAGTGCTATCTGGTTATAGAATTTACTTAAGGAGGTAGAAAAAAATACTTTAAAATAAGAATCTATATAAATTCGGAAACAGAATCAGAACTACAGGGATGAACTGAAAGTAGTTATATGATGCACAAGATAAACACGCCAAACTTGCAAAAGCAGACAGACATGCAATTGCAATCAGATATATCAAGAAGGTTGTCTTTTAGCACTCACATAGGCAACGTAAATGTTACAGAACTGATAATTCTATTGCAGTACTGTTCTATTTGCAACATATTGAAAGACTATGTGAAAATCCTATATAAACCTATATGGGAAGTGAAAAACAGCCCCTCTGCCCCAGAAGGATATTTATTCCAAAAAGATATTCCTTGCATTTACGTACTTAAGCAGCAAGTTCATTACCCTACTGTTCCTCACCAGTTGCTATGTTTTAGGTCAAGTCTTTTGTTCTTTTTTCTTTTTTAGACACAGCAGAAGTTTTGTGTGTGTGCTACCATGCACGCAAATCCTGAGTGACAGGGTAAAAAGAATTTACTGCAGGGGAAGAGGTCACCAGGATGAAAGGTAGAATCTTAAACACCAACTAGACCAGATGTTGATAAAGGCAGGCTACCACTATTCCTCTACAATGTAGCGGCCTTTGTTTGCTGCACCTCCTCCAGAGTGTTTTGGCTTAACAGATGTTTGCAAGTTCAATATTTTAACATCCATCTATCTTAATCTCCTTGCTCCTCATATACCCATGACACTGTTCTGCTGTTCACAAAGGAGTAAGTGACGAAATCTCAGTTTCTATGCAGTCAGTGTCAAACTTTCAGTGACACAGCAATGCATTTTACCATAAGCCTTTTGCTCACAAAGACAGCTATGTGGAAGGCCCAATGGATCAATGTAGGAAGCTCCTGGAATGGTCTATTGCTCCTTGACATCACAACCACCCCGTGAGGAGCTTTAAGCTCAGTTTACAGCAGTCGCCCTCCTACTGCCACTGGCATGTATGAAAATTAAATTTCTCTTGGTAGTGGCTGATACTGCACCGTCCCTGGTGTTACGTGATCCTATACATACATATTAGCAAAATATAGTATACAGGAAATATTTCTAGGCAAAATTATAAAATAGGATGTAAGTCAGGTATTCTTGAAAACCTTTTTAAGCAATGACATAACCTTATTTTCCTCCTCATTTAATAATTCAATTGCAGTTAATATTCTCAGATGTGTAAAAATCCTGTTTGCTATGAAGCTTCTCATACTAAAAGCCTGTCACATGAAAACATTGCAATGTCTGTAAGAAACCTGAAGTTGACACACTTCTTTTTTTTTCTCTAAGAAACTTTGCTACAGTAGGTAATAAAATAGATTTGCTATATGCATATCTCCTCTACCAAGTTCTATTTTTAAATTTAACACTGCTTGTATGAAAGTTTTAAATAAAACACTATTTTCTTAGAGTTTTATCTTGATCATGAAAAATACACAAAAATGAGCAGTACTTGTTGCACACATAAACCACCAAAGAACTTTTCAAAACATACTTGCAGGCACAGTGTTAGGCATTTATCACTTTACCCACACTGTCAAATGTTATATAACGTAATGACAAACCTATTTACAATTTCTTGCATCAATCCCACTCATCTCAACCCATTTTTGTTCTCTCGAATAAAAACCTGCCTCTGTCTGATAGGTCACAGAAAAAAACCCACCAAAAACCTAAAATAAAGATGGCATGTAGCTATCTGAAAAATATGAAAATACCGGACTAAAAAGCCAACTGTGCTGCCTATTTAGTGGGATCATATAGAGAAAAGGCAAATAACTCCAGGTCCTCAATGAAAGTGCTTTTCATGCAAGTGCTGTAAGTGGCAGATTACTTAGTATTCTAGACATGAAGACAAAATATCAAACAGAAGTCTTTGGTGACTTAATATCCTATCCCTAAATAGAAACAAAGACCCCCCAAAGCAAGACAAATTTCAAAAATGTAAAAATTATTTCCCATTTATTCTGTTGAAATTTTAGTAAAATCTACTGGATCACTTAGTTGTAATTTCTTTTTCAGCCAAATGCAGTTATCAGGAGCTGACTATTTCACAAAATGTCAAACAAATGAAGGTAATATAGAGGACTTTTTGCCAGTGCTTTAGCTAGTTGTTAGACTTCAGTAGCCTTTAGAGACCACTAAGTACCCTTTGGCTAATTGGCCAATGGTAGATTAATCCTCTTTTTATTCTAGCAGCACTATTTTAACACCCTTTGCACTCTGTCAGTGTAGTATCTGAATGACAAAATAATATTGTGCATGAATAATAAGCAGAAAAGTTAAATTAACATTTCATGTTTCACATGCCATACCTGTGTGTCAGGGAAAAGAACCCACTTTTAAAGCCACTGACATTCAACTTTTTTAAACAATCTCATGTTGACATCTTACTGAAGTGAATCTTCCTAATTACTGCTAATTGCCTATCACGGCAAAAAAAAAAAATCTTTCCTTGAAGTGCAGTTGTCTAGTATAGATGAACACCGCTCCAAAGTGCACAGTAAAGACAAGCATGACACTTGAGGTGTGCTACATTATTATGAGGTCATACTAAATATGGTTTGCAATGAACAAAGCAGCTTTTAAGGATGTTTAAGGCACTGAAAATGTCAATCTCTCATGAAGTGTTTAAATTAGTTCCCAGAAGAGAAATATGGACATCAGCCTGCAGACAAGAGGTATATTTCTAATCTCGAGTATTTTACTTTAGAAAAAACATATTTGTCCTACTGATAACATCATGGTAACACAATTGCAGTTCATCTGCTTTATAAAAGCAATATTTGCATTGCTGTT